AACAACAATAAGGAATTTAATACCGCCAGTCTGTGTAATTAGGACAAGAGACTGTGCAGGAAATTGTTAATCGTACTTTAGAGCTCTTCCAAACTCTCAAAGTTCTCCAGCCACCCAATGGTATGTTAACTGTCTATTAACTAAAATGCTATTAAATATTTTGTTAATAAATCTATTATTTATAAATATAGGTACAGCACAAGGGGCAAACATGGCAAATGAGAAGAAAAGTAAGGTCTACGACCAATTGAGAATGATAAAAATGATGTATAAACGTTTGAGACTGATCTATGAAAAATGCAATGAGAATTGTCAACTGCAAGGCATGGAATATACGCATATAGAAAGCTTAATTCCATTGAAAGAAGAATGGGATATGAAATCTGATGAAAAGAAAACTTCGGAATCTTACAGACTTGCTTGTGAAGAGCATAAGGACATTATGGAGGTACAGAAAATATGATTACTGTATACTTTAATTATAATTATCAGATTTAATTATAATAAAATTAAAATTTCTTTTGCAGCAAGTGATAGGGAAAAATAGGCACATTAAAGAAATAATTGACCACTTAAGACGTATTATTTCGGAAATAAACACAATGCTACATATGCGTCGATCTTAGGCAACCAAATGTAAAAAATGATCTGTAAACTATTTTGAGTATCCAAAAGTGTAATAAATAACTTTTTTTGTACAGTATAAGGTATTTTGCGAGTGTTGGTATTTTATCATGTAAATTCATCTGTTCCTCAGGCATTTATTTCTTTATTGTTCAGTACTAATGTCGCCAATGTCTAAGTAGATAATGTCATTGCTTCGAAGAACGGCATCTGGTATTTTCCCAATTGGTGTCTCCAAATTCCTCACAAAAATCTCAGAACATTCCACATCACAACCTCTGAATTCACCCAACACGTGTGTATTTTCATATAAATGAAATTCTGCTCGTTTGCCTATAATGATAATTGAATATCAGTGTCAGAACAACAAACGTTACTGTCATCTAATTGATTAAGATTAATTGTAGATTAATTTTATTAGTAGTTAATATTTCTTTTGTAATATATTCATGCAGTTATAACCTATAAAGGTTCAATAAACAGCTAATTCTAAATTTCATTTAAAATATTAATGTATGATAATTATGTATAATTATATATTTGCGTACATTTTCGCCATACATATTTCCTATATGAGCAATAATTTGAATTTCTTATTCAAAGTATTACACACAAAACTAATAAATATCCCTTTTGATTATCATCATAGCAATTTTAAGAGATATTAAAATTTAATGTGAAAATTAATTTAATGTGCACGTATATATTGTCTACATTGACGTATTAAAAAAAATTTACTCGATACTTCAAAATTAAATTGCACAGAGCATGTAATACAATGTTAGGTGAATTTTCTTACCGACAATGCCGGTAACAACACGCAAAAAACGTTCCCGCAGAAATGCACGAGCCTGTTGCTTCTCCGAAGTTGCAAATTCCAAATCAGCTGTGTTTGTGATCACATCAGTTTTTCCTTGTTCAATCATTTTTTTATCAGAAAATAATGTAACATTGCCGAGACTAACACGTGTGATGCGACTATGATGGAGTTGGATGCAGTCATAACAAAGTTTGCGCGCGCAATAAGAGAAGGCGGTATATTTGAGTGTTCATAAATTGTTGCTTGATAATTATAGCAATGTAACAGTATATACTAAATAAATTATTTATTAGTAAATTAAAATTTGTTTAATAAAATCGTATTCTGCGTGTATGACAATTAAAGAATTCTAAAAAGTAAAAATTTTATTAAGAAAAGCCGAAAAGTAAAGAAACTTTTCTTATTTTCAAATTAATTAAAAACATCCCTTTTCTTTTTAACTTTCTCTCGTATGTTTAAACAAAATATGTGTAATATGTAATGCATAATATAGGCACATTGAAATTGAAAGGATTTCAATAACAATAATTAATATTTTAAAAAAGATCGCAGTTGTTAATTATCTCAGATACATTGTAATTTACAAGGCCTGGAATGGAATTAAGTATTCGTATCAGCAAAACTGTTTTGCGTGTAAGAGTAAGTGAGCAAGAGATAAAGATTTTCATATTTCTGCTAAACAAATGTAAATTACGAAATAAAAACCGATATAACTAAGCTCTCACTTTGCTCTTATCTTCACAAGTAAAACAATGACAGTTTTTATATGCGCATTCCGCAGACATAAAATCTCTCCTAATATGAAAGTTTTGAAAGTATGTATATAAAAAAACAAGGAAATCTCGAGTATCCTGCATCGATAGCCCACATTTCCTATGCAAAATGCACCGCGGAGGACGCTTAGATCGATATAATTACCATACTTATAATGATATCTACCAAACACACTTTCTCGAGACCACATGGGGGCGACCCGCAGCTTTTTAATTTCATCGAAGAGCCTATAAGGTGTCACTTCATTTTCGTTCCGATCACGACGCGGTAACGATGGGCTCCCTCATCATTGTTTTAACATTCATCGCCGCATATTGCAGTGGTAAACCAATCGACCGAGTGTTATTTCAGTATCGATTCTGTAGCTACGTCTTTCCAACGACTCTTTTCATTGCAGAGACGTATTGTGACACACTTCCGACTACTCTCGTTAAGCCTGAAGATGTCGGGCTAGTTGAGAAGAACAACAACAGTCACGCGATCGAGAAAGGATTCTTCTGGAAAAATCCGTCGCGACAAAGGTCCTTGAAGCTAGAGGAGTTCAGGAATCTAAGCAGCGCGAATAACGAGACGAGTAAGAGGAAGTCACGACTTCTGGACGGCTTAGCCTTCCTAGCTGGCCTCAGCGTCGGGGGATTGGCTGCCGCGGCATCCTCCGTAAAAAGTGTCGCTAAATTACCGCAAGGGTCGTTCAGTTTAAACCTAGGTTCTTCCAAAGCCCCACCCTACTTCGCCGCTTATTACAATCCTTATTCTCTGCTGCCTCATCCATTCTTCTATCCCGGTTCTTTCGGACTCGTGCCGATTAACCCCGCGAAACCCCCAACGACGTCGCACAACGATCTAACGCAGCAAGTGATCAGCATATTTGAAAATAGACCGCAGACCGATCTCGAGGAGAACAATAAGGAATATGTAGACGCGGAGAAAAAGTTCAGCAGCGACAAAAGCGGCGAGGCTGACGATCGCACGGATTTACGAGCCGCAGCCGATCGGAACGCGGAAGAGAAGGTAAGGATTTAATAGATCTCGGCTCGCGCCGCGGTGAGCAAATAGAAATCAGAGCAGAAAGCCACGCGTTTTATCTAGGCGCGCATCTCACCCAGCGACGAGCGTCGTGCTTTCTCAAAAGTCAAAAACACTGACTCGGTTATTCGTATTAATTACGCGGAAATATTAATGTATGCTACATTGCCGGTGAATAATCGTTGAGATTCGGATAGCAGCGTAATAAGATCGCGGAGCGAGCTTTAAACATTTTGGAATTATTTATGAGATGATCTGATGAATATAATAAATACTTTCGCGTCGGGTTTATTAATGCTGTGTTTACGAAAATGTAAGAGCAAGACGCTTCGCGAATGCTCGGATAAAATAATATAGTTGTACAACAGGTGCTCATACGATACATCACTCTTTCGTGTTCTCTAGTTTCTCGTTGCTCTCTCTTTCTCTGTTTTAGCTTCCGCACAATTTAATATATGCGTCTGTGACTTTACTTGAGCCTAATGATATTGTATGCCATGTGTGACAAAATAACACGCGAAATATTGATTCTCAAACAGAGCGGCGTTTCCAGTAAGCACAAGCTAACAGTAACATAACATAGTAACATACATAAGTAACATAGTCAATGTTATAATTTTCCACTCGACAATGTAACTGCAATATAACATGCCTTGTACGTAACAATTACATTGTTGAGTGGGAAATTATAACATTAATGTTATGTTACTGTTACTTTGTGTTCACTGGGTTCTTGTACGAAACCAAGCGTGTCCAGTCGGCAATTTTTTTACGTACTACATTATGCTATTACGAAGCAAAAATATCCTTTTATTTTTCTTCGCTCTTGTTGTGAAATCTAAGACACATTGGGGAAAGTGGAGTCCACCCCTATTATCTTGTTGTTGACTTTGAGGTGGCGGTGACTAGGAGTTATTCATGATATTATTATGTACTTTATGATGCTATGGCTTACTTTCACCTGGTGCTACCTTCAAGTAAACAATAAGACAAATAAATGCGGGCTCTAAAATTTTTTAACTTACCTCAACGTACTTTACATAATGTAATTCGCTAAAGAATAATATTCTTGTCAATTTAATTTGAATAGCTCTCGAATCATGTAAAAATATGTAAACTTTCTTAAATTCGAACAAGTATATTTTTGCACGCTTGATTTCACAAAATAGCACGCGCGCTTTGCGCATCGGTAAATCACAACACTAATGAATAATTCACCATCGGCAGATAGTGATACGCGGATGTAAAGAGGGACAACGGAAGCACGGCAATTTCTTCAAAGAATCGGTCAGAGCGCATGAAGATTTCTACAGTGCCAGCAACTTGGATCCATCTGCGAACGTGACCGCGAATCAGACCATGACAACAAATGCAACTATGACAAGCCCGCCGATCCAAAATACAACGTATTATCCTCCGCCTCAGTATACCGCGCCGTCCTTGCCGGGATATTTCGGCGGGTATCCGCAGAATATAAATCACGTTGATCTCACGACGAGCTCGGACGCATACCGTTATCAAGATCCTAGCCACAGCAATTATAATTTGCCATACGAGAGACCGCATTTTTACCACGATGACAAGTACAATGCTTATTCGAATTCTCACGTTAATTCATATTTTTCTGGGCCATATTCGTCCGATCAAACAAATGAACACGCAGCTGCGGATTATAATCGATTGTATCGCCAACCGTATCAATCACCGTACGATAGCTTTCGACCAGTAAAGTGAGTCATTTTTTGCATAAAGTTCGTTAAACATTTTATCGAATTGTGTAAATTAGATTGCGCTTGATGAGCTTCTAAAAAGTAAAATTTTTATTATTATTAAAATAGATTTAAATCAATATTTTCTACTAAAAATATATGAACGGAGATTAAGTTCAAAACTTCATCTTCTTTGTATATTTTTCTATTATTCTTTCACATTATTTTCACTAGTGTAAACACTAGTTGTAGAAATAATTAAAGTATTAATTAAGAAACGGTAAATGTGTGGTATGTTATCAATTATTGCAATATATATGAGGGCTTCAGAAAAAAAGTGGAACAAGTCTATTTTTGTTAATTGTTAGAAAATTAGTTTCAAAGTTAAAGTTGTTCTAACTGTGCGCAACTTGTACACTGTTATAGTTTCTCTTAATTTTAACTTGAACATTTGCACTCACTTTTTAATCATTCAGTGAAAACTGTTCAGCTTTTTCTAATTTATACATGGATTGGACTTGTTCTACTTTTTTTCTGAATTCCTCATATGATAATGTCAATTTTATGTGGCTTT